CATGCCTCTTATTACACATACACATACTATATTTAAACCTTATACATATTATTGGTTAACATCAATAATTTACATGTGTAATCAAATCTTTGAAAAATTTTCAGGTTTAAATAGATTTCTTATTGATAGAATTGTTATATTATTATCATCATGGAATTCAATAGCTATACCAAGCCAACTTAATAGAACATCAGTACAACGTCTTTTAGAATATTTATTTCTTAATTCTACACATAAAAATTCTCTTGTTATGAAATCAAATTTAGATTTAATTAAAAAATGAATTGAATCATGGAATTAACGTATATATGCACCAACATTAATTCTATAGAAATTAATATCTGATCAAGATATTAAATCAAAACATAATGCTGTAGGTTTATCATTAATTGTAATATAATTAGCTAATAATATATTACCTTATAATCAAATAAATTATTTAACTCAAGATTAATTTAATGAAACATTATTAAAAAATATGAAAAATTCTTTTCGAACTATTTATGCAGCAGCAGCAGCAGAAGTTGTTGGAATGTTATTAAATAATAAAAAATGAAAAGGTCAATCAAATGAACGTTTATTAGAAGAATTAAATTTTATATTAAAATGGCATAGTGGTCAAACTATACAAGATACATAGATAACATGTATTTATTCATTACAAAAACATTATCCAGAAATTGTTGATAAAACGTATATGAAATTTTATTTTGAAAAACAAATTTTCTTTTGTATTTTTATTTTAGTGTTATGAATAAATTAATGTTTGATTTGAAATAATTTATATGGAGATTTTAAGATGGAATGTTTAGAAGCAATGATTGAAAATATTACAGAATTTTATTCGCCATATTTAGAGTTAAAAGCTGCTGGAATACTTGATATTCTTATTCATAAGTAAATCGACTCTTTTTTTAATTAGAAATTCTTATGAAATCTATGCAGAATGAATGGCAATTTGTGGAGGAGAATTTACTTCTTTAATCCTTGTAAAGAGCATTATTTCTAAGAATAGTTGGTGCAATTCGTAGTGCTCAGTACTATGTCGTGCTGCTGAGTATTACAGAGATGTATGGGACCAAGGTCTTTTTGATTTCGATCTCAATTATGGTCTCGGCTCAGAGAAAACTATTTCAATATTTATTCGTATTACATTCAGAAAAGCCTTCAATATTCGTTTTTTTATTATTTAGTTGTCGACGAGTACTGTTTTGAGTCATCTATCTTGGATTATGCTCAGAGAGATATGATTTATAAGATAATTCGCTTAAAACTATAATCTTTAAGATAAAAATAAGATTCTGCATAAGGACGGATGAGGTAAACTTCGGTTCGATCCGAACATTTCTCTAACCCATATTTCTTTATTGACTATTAAAATCTATATGAATTTGATATGTTG